TATATATATATATATATATATATATAGACTTGGGATCATGTGAGACCAAAGGTTTTTCGTGAGACCCATGAGACCAATTTTCAACCCTTGAATTAGATCTACAATCTGAACATTCATAATCACAAAATTGCTACAAGACTTCTCAATAATCACAAAATTGCTATCGTGCAACTTTAAACCATTAGATAATTAACTTATAAAGTTGATCAATTAACATAAATTGGTCTTACGGGTCTCATGAAAAACCCTTGGTCTCACGTGAATCCAACCCTATATATATATATATATATATATATATATATATATATAACACTACATTAATAAACAACATCAAAGTCTTAAATACAATTAATAAGACACAAAGTACTCGCATTTTATGCATGAGCTAAAGAAATCTCTTAATTACAATATGTAAAGCATGATGTACAAGGTGTTAATGCATGGTTTTAAAACAATCCTAAAAAACCAAGTTTGGTATGTTCACAATATTCTTTATCTCCTCCCGAATTTTCAGTTTCCTTTAGAAAACCCATTGACAAAAACCTCGATTTTTCCAAAATTCAAAGGCCTTATGTTCCCAGATTGATAATTCCCGCTCCAAAGAATGATGATTCAGCTCCCATAGTTTCCTCTTCTAGCTCTTGCAATTGAGTTTGGGTGGCGGACTCACTTTTAGTCTCCACGATTCCTATCAAATCGTCGATTACCTTCTTCATCGCTCTCTCACTCACTCCATATGAACGTTTTGAACAATATCTCAATGAATTTCTTACAAAGGATTTTATTTTCCAGTTTATTCAAACATAATTCCGAATGTCATTTTGTAAATTACAAGTGTAGGAAAAAAACCCATCATGCCTACATTAGTAATTAAAATATAGGAACAACAAATGTTACTACATTGAAAATATCGTAATCCAGCAATTCCAGTTCACATAAAATTCGTTCAAAATAATATATTCATATTCAAACTTAAAGGACAAACATTTTCCATTTGATTTGGTCTTTCTATGACAATCATGTGTTTATTTGTTGTAATTGTCAATCAATATTCTCGCTTACATTTATATAAAATTTATACTCTGCCGCATTGCACGGACACACAACTAGTATATATATATATATATATATAATTTTATTTTATGAACATTAAAATGTATTATAACATTACAATGTTCCATTAATAAAAAAAAACAATTTAAACAAACATTACATGTTCGTCTAATAAATACTACGAGCTATAAGTTTGTATTTAGGGGTCGTTTAGTAAATGCTTACCGGAGTATAGTACTTAACAAGTCACATTATCTTACCGAATGAATATGACAAGAACCAAAAATATTACCCGCTAAAAGTGAAAGTAAAGACCAAAAATCTTACCCGATAAGTGAGAGCGACGACTCTTACCACGGTTAGCGCTTACCGGGTAAATTGCTGTCTACGATGCCTTTTTGGTAGACACAAATCTTACCCAGTAAGTAAGTGATAATGTTGAATTTTACCCACTATTGTCGCTGCCACCCCTATCCACTCAACCCCCACCCTCGCCCCATCCACCACCACGCCACCATCATCATCCTTACAACCACCATCCCCTTCCACCACCATTCTTTCAAATGGGTAAAAACATATACAAAAAATTGTTATTTTAAGCGTTTACGGTTTAAAATATCTATTTTGGAGAGTGTATCTTAAAAAACATTTTGAGTTTCACATACGTTACAACAACATCATATCAATATTGAGTAGGGATGTTACTTGGTCGACTAAATCGGTGTATGAGTTATTCAAGTTTCATTTTTTTTTTCCAAAATAACTTGATCATTGAACTGAACAAGGCTCAATTTAATCGTTTTCGGTTATTCGGTTAAAAAACTAAGTGGTCGTTTACCAAACACTTATCCGGTAAGCGCTTACCGGTAAAATTTAACATTATCATTTACTTATAGATTAAGATTTTAGTTTACCAAAACGACATCGTATGCAACAATTTACCTGGTAAGCGCTTACCATGGTAAGAGTCGTCGCTGTCACTTATCGGGTAAGATTTTTGATCCTTGTCTTGCTCTTACCAGATAAGATTCTTGGTTTTTATCATATACATCTAGTAAGATAATATGACTTAGTAAACACTTATCCAGATAAACAATTTTTCTAATAACAAAATTATATTTTACTTAGTTGTCAAAAATATAATTACTATATCCTTTTTAGCTTATCTAAAAAATATTCTTAAATATCTCAACCGAGTAATTCACATTAGATATCAGAAGTACAAACTAATCAATTCTCTCTTAAATGGAACCTAACATTTCATACTTAGACAATTAAATTAACATAAATAAAAAGTCAATATTTATCAAAGAACCTTATCTACACATTGGAAAAAAACCCCACAAAGATCAAGAAACTAACAAAGACCATATTCTTTTATATTCAATTTTTTGCATTGTTCTAAATAACTCGTTATAACTTTGTTATGACGTCATGGCTTGGGTTTATCGTCACATTAACTTGTATGGCTTCATTGTAACGTAACACATTACGCATTATTTTGTAAGGTGTGGGCTAAGTTTTTAATACATAATTTAAACGATAAATAATAATTATATACGAAACCTAATATTTAAATAAATATAAAAAGAAAACTAAAAAATTAAAACCTTAAATAGGTAAATCCTCTCTCTTTCATTCCTCTCCTTGAAAAGTGGAATACAAATTCTATGAACATTTTAGGGGTGTTTGGTATTGCTTATTTGAAACAATTTATGTTTTTTTCCCTACAAAAACACTTATTAACTTATTATAAGTCTTAACTTCTTCAAAAACTTTTTATTACCGGTTTAGCACTGGTATAAGTTGTTTATCCAAACACTCAAAAATGCGTATTACCGATGTCATACCGGAATAAGTCAATAAATTATTTTTATAAACAATCCTAGACACCAAATAACATTATTGTTTAATATACAGACCAGACCAGATCGGAACAAACCAGAACAGATCAAAACAGATCAGAACAGATTCAGAAAAAGGAAAAACATTTTTGTCTTACATGATTTATGAGAATATGTAGAAAAGTCCAAAGGAGTGTTATCAATGCCCTTCAGGAAAGAGGGAAGTCTAGTCTTTGACTGGTTATCGTTTTGGGAACATCACCATCTCCATTTTTTTCTGCGTTCTTTCTTGCATCATCCGCCAGCGCCAGCCATTTATGAAACCTCCACCAATTTCGATTCTATTTTGTTTCCTTCATCCCCATCAATTTCAGTTGCGAAATTTCCAAACCCATCAATCAAACATGAATCTTTTTCTAACTGCTGCCGTCTTCCTGATGCTATCTTCTTCATCTCTGGTTTTGTCTCAAACGCCAACCAATTCGACCTCTTGTCCGTTGAATTTTGACCACGTGCTCAGAATTCCATGGCCGACTGCCGACTGCCGCCACTCCGACGACTCAGCGAAACCCGTCGGCAATTCCACCTCTTGTTGTCAGACCTTGCTTAGCGTTTTCGGCATCGCCTTAGCCCAACACCTCAAAGAAACCTCTCTCTTCCACCTCCCTGATCTCGCAACATCCTCATCTTGTCTCTCCGATTTCCAAAACAAACTCAACTCCCTTTCCCTCCCCAGTAATCTCGCTACCTTTTGTTTTGACCCTCATCAGTTTGTCATATCGTCGAACACCTGTGCTGCAATTCAGACCGTCCAAGATTGGCGCCGAACGTTGGGGAACCATACCGTTCTTGATTCTGCGTGTCAAGATGATCTCACTGAGCTTACTGCCTGTGATGATTGTCTCAGAGCAGGGTTACGGGTTCACAGCGAACTGGCTCTCAAAGATGGTAACGCTTCTCATTCAAACGAGTGTTTTTACTTTGTTGTTCTTTATGCTGCTGCTATTGTCAATAAGTTCGGGCCTGAAAGTGATGGTGCTGTATCTTGTACCTTTGGGATCAACATTTTGCCCAAATCCCATAAAACTAAACATTCTTCATTGATATTTGGATTGATTGGAGGACTTGTTGCTATCGTGGTCATCTCTTGTTTAGTTGGGTTATACTTTTGGTGGGATAGGAAGAGGAAAAGGGAAAAGATCGATGAATTGGGCATGGATGAATTCGAATCGGGTAGGCCAAGAAGGCGTCCGAACACTGGTTCAATATGGTTCAAGATTCATGATCTTGAGAAGGCAACTGATAACTTTTCACCAAAGAATTTCATCGGCAGAGGTGGATTCGGGGTTGTTTACAAGGGGGTTCTATCTGATGGATCTGTGGTTGCTGTTAAAAAGATTATAGAATCCGAGTTTGAAGGGACCGATGATTTCTGTAACGAAGTTGAGATCATTAGCAATTTAAGGCATCGGAATCTTGTTCCACTTAAAGGGTGTTGCATTCATGGCGCAGATGAAGATTACGAGCGGAGAGATGATCAGAGATATCTTGTTTACGAGTATATGTCGAATGGAAATCTTGATGACCATTTGTTTCCAGCAATGAGTCGAAAACCTCCATTAACATGGCCTCAAAGAAAGAGCATAATTTTGGATGTAGCCAAAGGTTTAGCTTATCTTCATTACGGGGTGAAGCCTGCTATCTTTCACAGAGACATCAAAGCTACAAATATACTTCTGGATGTGAATATGGGAGCTCGAGTGGCCGATTTCGGTTTAGCCAAGCAAAGTAGAGAAGGACAGTCTCATCTTACTACTCGTGTAGCCGGGACCCATGGCTATTTAGCCCCGGAATACGCGCTTTACGGGCAGCTGACGGAGAAAAGCGACGTGTATAGTTTTGGGGTCGTGATTTTGGAGATCATGTGTGGTAGAAAAGCTCTCGATCTTTCTTGCTCGGATTCGCCCCGTGGTTTCTTGATTACCGATTGGGCTTGGTCGCTTATAAAAGAAGGGAAAGTGTTGCAGGCTTTGGATCCTTCGTTGGTGGGACATGGGACGAGTAGTGAAACGATGAACCCGAGAGGGATCATGGAGCGATTCGTGCTCGTTGGCATTTTATGTGCTCATGTGATGGTTGCTTTACGGCCTACGATTATGGATGCGTTGAAGATGCTAGAAGGCGATATCGAAGTGCCCGCAATTCCCGATCGGCCGACACCACTCGGGCACCCTTCGTTCACGAGCGATGGTAGCACCTTCAGCATCTCGCCAGTCTTGAGTGGGCTACAGTTGCAAGCCACAGACATGCTTAGGTAGGTGAAATCAAGAAATCTTTGAATCTTGAAAGCCTTAGAATCATACAGATGCATTGGAAGCAACTAAGAGTTGTAAAGTATATGTATAGTTTCATATAATAATTCAATTTGTTCTTCATTATTCTTTTAATGTATCAAAGGAATTTGGGTTTTGGTGTTATATGTTTTATAAACCTGATCGGACTTCGGATATGAAAATCAAGCCTCGATTTTTGGGTTTTGGATTTCGGATTGCTTCGGGTTCGGTTGGTCGGGTTTCGGGTATGCGTTTAGTTATAATGTATAGGTATTCAATCGATTTTGAAAATAAATTTTAATCGATTTAGAGGATTGATAAACCGGTGATATGCTTATGATTTTTAGAATTTTTAAAAGATAATTAGATAATAAATATAAGGTAGGGTTCCGGAATTCTGGTGAGAAGGAGAGTTAAGGTGAGAAACGTAAAAAAGAATCTCCACCTTCGATGCACATTAGGTTGAAATGCATTGAGATTAAATTGATTGAGATGCACCAGATTAATCCTCGTATCAAGTGTCATTCATGAGTGAGTTTGAGATTAAAGATGATCAAGAGATCTGAGTCTAGATTTCTTCTTATGCTTCTCAACTTAACTCTCTTTATCATATGATCCTTCAAATATATTTATATAGTAGAGTTGGGTTCCGGTGAGGAGTGTTAAAATGAGAAGCGTAAGAAGAGATCTCTACCGTTGGATGCACACTAGGATGAGATGCATCGAGATACACCATATCAGTTCCTCTGAGAAACACAATTCATGAGTGTGCAAGAGATTAAAAGTGATCAGGGTCCAGATCCATTTTTATGCTTCTCATCTTAACTTTCATTCTCACATTTCACATTATACACACACACACACTTTGGATCTTGTGAGACCAACCTGTTTTCGTGAGATTCGTGAGACTATCTTTTTACACTTCAAAGTTCACAGTAAAATAATGTAAACACAACTTTCACAATATTTTTGTTGTGAATGTTTGGACTTTTTTTTATTTCCACAATGTTTTGATGTGAATTTTCATGTGTAAAAATGTGATCTCATGGGTCACATGAAAACAAGCTGGTATCGCGTGAATCCAACCCATATATATATATATAGGGGATAGATATTTTGCAAACCAAGTCATTTCTACCACCGTGAAAACCGTCGATTTCATTGTTTATTTTAGTGAAATTTTTTCATGAAATTTTTTCAAATAATTCATTTCATTTCAAATAATTATGGACATCATCATATCCATTCTATTAATTTTAGTAAATAAATTTCATCAAAATGAGAAATACACGAAACAATTTAATTTTTACATGGAAACAAAAATATATGAAACATTTTCATCATGAAAACAACTATTTAAAACAATTTCATGATATTAAACAATTTCATGAAAATTTTTTCACTAAAATAAACAATGAAGTTGACGGTTTTCATAGTTTGTGCAAATAATTTGGTTTGCATTTTATTCCACCTATATATATATATATATACCACCTATATATATATATATATATATATTTATGTAGGGTTGGGTTCACGTAAGACCAATGGTTTTTCGTGAGACCCGTAAGACCAATTTATGTTCATTGATCGATTTTATAATCTAATGATCCAATGGTTAAAATTTAGCATTAAACTTTAACCTTGTAAGGGTATTTTTTACCTATATATTTTTTCTTTCTTTAACCTATATATATAGATCTAATCCAAGGGTTAAGAATTGGTCTTACGGGTCTCACGAAAAACCCTTGGTCTCACATGATCCCAAGTCTATATATATATATAGGAAATAAAAGTGTTAAAAAGTCTGACCTGAATAAAACAGCAATGATAAAGGTGAATGGAGGGACGAGATTGATGAAAGCTGTAGCAAATGTTACTGAGGTTACAATTAAGCTTTCTGCAAATAGATTTTGTGCCAATGGACCCCTGCATGCAACATTAATCTTAACTCAGGAAACAAATTAAGCAATTAATTATTACATAGTAAATATATAAATTTTTGCAAAAAGAGGTATTTTTTCCTATCTTTTTTTAGAACCAATAAAATTATGATAACCTTGAAAATTAGTGTATCATGTGCTTTTTTATATGGTTTTTTTAATCTAAGATTAAGATTTGGAATATCGATTAACATATATATATTTTTTACAATGTTATTGTGAAACAAAAGTAACACAAAATGTTTCACTTTATAAACCGTAGATATGTGAAACAAATACATTATGAACAAATATATATTCTCCAATACATTAACTGCTAGTTTTAGATGAGAAAGAACATCATATGAGACAATACCTTAAGATAAAAAATGTATCACGGTTAATAAAACATGTGGGATTCTCAAATGATTAAGTCAATATATATATATATATATATATATATATATATATATGAGGAGGATCAAATGCAAACCAAGTCATTTGTACAAATCATATAAACTATCGATTTCATTGTTTAATTTAGTGAAATTATTTCATGAAATTGTTCAATATGATAAAAATGTTTCATATAATTTTTTTTCTTGATGAAATTGTTTCATATATTTTTGTTTTCATATAAAAGTTAAATTATTTCATGTATTTCTCATTTTGATAAAACTTGTTTAAAATTAATGTAAAGAAGATGATAATATCACAATTAACGTTCTCTATAATAAATGACTAATCAACTATCATAATAAAAAAATTATGATTGGTTGAATGAAGTTTGTACGATTTGTACAAATGAGTGAATGACTTATGTTGCATTTGATCACTCCCCTATATATAGGGGCTTAATCAAATGAGAACTAATTAGTTTGTGGTAACTGTGAGATCCAATCTCAACCACAAATCAACAGATAAATTAGGAAAATAATAATTATCCGTTGATTTGTGGTTGAGATTGGATCTCACAGTTACCACAAACTAATCAGTTCTCTCTTGAATGAGCCCCTATATATATATGTATGTATGTATGTATGTATGTATGTATGTATTTGAACAAAAGTAATTGTTTTCAGTGTATATTAATTAAATAATGAATGTATTCACCAACTATATACATATTTTAATGAAAATTTTTGTAATTCATGTTTATCAATTAATATACACTATCAAATTAATACTTTCATTCTTAGAATATTTACGGTTCTTCCAATATATATATATATATATATAAATGATGTCAATGTTTATATATTAACTACCAATAGTTTTTTTGGTTACATGTATATTCGTACATATAGGACTCATTTGGTACACTAAACATGACAGAAATAATAAACAAAACAAAAATTATTGATCCACATTTGACAGAACTTTTATGTAGAACGAATTGAAACATGCATGTTCCAACCCTACATCGTCATAGAACAAGGTGGAAGAAGATAAAACAGACCTATTTTATTCATTCTTTAAAATTTTATTTATTGTATTTATATACTTTTTAAACTTTCACTTTACTGTATTCAAAATATTATTTTTATGTGGTTTTTATTTTTGGATAATTTATGTTATTTTTTAAATATTAATAATATAAAATATCATAAAAAGGTATAAATAAAATTTAGAAACTACATAAACTTTATATTTTTGTGTCATTTTTATCGTCTTGATGAAAGCTTTCTAATAATATATTTTGTTATAAAAATATTTATGTTATTATAATTTAATAAATTAAATAAATTAATCAAAATATATAAATGATATATACAACTTATTACGGGTAAATTGGTCATTTAATCTATTTCCGTCATGTTTAGTTCTGTCTTAATAAACGCTTTTGTTCTATTGTCCTTTCGTGATACTGATACCAAATGCAGCCATATAGAATACATGTATGTTGAAGCTTGAATATAATTAAAGCAGCACTTACAACATACCCCAAAATGGCACAAGTAAAAGCGTGACCGAGTATCTTCCATGTTAGCTTCGGTCTTATGTTTCTGCAGCATTTACAAAGAATTTAAACATAACAATGGAGAAGTTATGATGATGAATTTAACATGTATGTATGTATATGTATATATATAGGCTTCATCATCTTGAGACCTCTAAAAAATTCGTGAGAAGTTCTACCTTGAAGTTTTGTTTCATATGGTGTTTTTCCGTCTAAGTATAGCACTTAACGTATAAATTAACATATATTCGTTTCACAATTGTTTGTTTCGTATGTTTTCATATCACAAAGTGAAACTTTTTTAAGTATAAATCCCGTTTCACAAATACATCAAAAAGGTTCACATTGTGAATCGAGTACATGTGAAACAAACACATCGTGAAAAAACATGCATGTTAATCGATATTCTAATAGGTTGAAGAAGTTTGAGGGCAGGTACCTTTCAATGAAGAGAGCAAGAGGAAGAATGATAAGAGAAGCAAATAGGTAGCGGTAGGCAATCAAAATGCTGAGATGCATTCCATCATTTGCTGCCACTTTAAATAAAATATTGGTTCCTGCCATCGTCAATTCAGCCATTATCATCATCATCGTTGCCTTCAACCCTTGCATCTTCTTCATTCAATGGGCACCAAATGGTCTGTTGATTAATATTAGTAGTTTTTTTTAGAGGAGTGTGTGAAAGCCTTCGCTACAATAAAATTGGATTTATAGGACGCCTTTAATCTCGAAATGTCTCGATAAAACGTTTTATAGGACTTAATTTATATGACCAAAATATAATGTGTCATATTTTAAAGTGTTGTAATAAGTTTATATGACGTTTTTGGGCGTTTTAACAAGTTTTTTAGGATATTTTTAATACAAAGTGTCGCATTAGCAACTTTATAAGACACTTTTGAGAAATTGTTGTATAAAATCAATTTTGTATAGGACACTAGTTTTTATAGGACAAATTTTCAAATGGTGTCCTATAAAGTTGATAATGAGACGCTTTATATTAAAAGTGTCCTAAAAAACTTATTACGACATCAAAAAAAAGTCATATAAACTTAATGCAATTAGCTTTAGATAGGACACTTTATTTTTTTCGTCTTATAAACTAAGTTCTATAAAGTGGTCTATTAGGACGCTTAGAATTTGAGAGTGTTCTATAAACCCGATTTTGTTGTACTGCTTAATCTCTCTCATACAGAAATATAATCATACATCATTTTTTCCAAGTTCTATTGCTACCATATACTAACACTCAACTTTTTTATATGACTAGAAGTCTCGTCTCATAAATGTGACAATACATTTCGATTATAAAACGATAACTTGAACACCGAATCCTAATTTATTCTTTGTCCTTTCGATTTATTCTATAACTTTGAAAATCCATCTAATATATATTTTATATTATAATTTTTTGTTCTTTCATGAAAGAATAAGAAATATGTCAAAAGACAAGCATACAAGAAAATCTTTAAAAAAATTATACATCCAAAATAAATTGGATATATATATATATATACATATATATAGAGCCAAGATCATTTACAAATTCAAGCGTTAGTATAAACCATACAAACCAATAAATTGAGATATCTATAGAAATGATGAAAGTTTTATTGACTTTGGAGGATCGTTGCACGCTTGTATTATTGAGTGAGAGAATGATTCAGACATTCGAAGACATGTTGTGCGCTTGTATTATTGACTTTGAAGGATTGTGAGAAGTACATTTACCTTTGATAGAATTTGTTTATAACAATAGTTATCACGTTAGTATTCAAGCGACACCATTCGAGGTTTTCTACGGTAGAAAGTGTACAACTCCTTGGAATGAACTAGGAGAAGAACAGTTAGTAGGACCAGAAATTGTTCAGTTAAAAAAAACAAGGGTGGTGCCTAATTGGTTTGAGCTTGGCTCCAAAAGTCAAAAGTACCAGGAGGTCTCAGGTTCAAATCCAAGGAGGAATAAAAAAAAAACCCTTGTGGCCACGGAGGTTCAAATGCGGTGACTCAGGGCTATCTGCGAAGCAGGTGGTTGCCCTGGGATTAGTCGGCTCGCATAGCGGGTTAGATATCCAGGTTCATAAAAAAAATTGTTCAAATAATGGCAAATAAGATCGATCAGATTCTTTAACGATTAAAGATGGCTCAAATTCGACAAAAAATTTACGACGGCAAACATCATAAATCGATAGAGTTTCAGGTGGGTTATAGCGTATTGTTAAAAGTACCGTCGTGAAAAGGAATTGTCTATTTCGATAACAAAAGAAAGTTGAGTCCATTGTATATCGGACCTTTTGGGATTAGTGATCGAGTTGCTGTGGTGGCTTACAGGTTAGAACTTCTAGAAGAATAGAGTGGCATTAATAGTATCTTTCATGTGTCCACTTGAGAAAATGTTTACTGTATATCGGACCTTTGTGATCAGTGATCGAGTTGCTAAGGTGGCTTACAAGTTAGAACTTCTAAAAGAATTGAATGACATTCATGGTACCTTTCATGTGTCAAACTTGAGAAAATGTTTACTTGATATGGAAAAGGCAATACTCTTGCTAGAAGTGCAAGTGGATGAGAAGCGAATTTCAATGAAGAGGCAGAAGTGTATAACTCCGTTGTGTTGGAATGAACTGGTAGCAGGACGAGAAATTGTTTAAAATGGCAAATAAGATCAGTCAGATTCGTGAACGACTAAAGATGGCTCAGGACCGACAAAAAAATTACGACGATAAACACCGTAAACCAATAGAGTTTCAGGTGGCGTATAGTGTATTGTTAAAAGTATCGTCGTGAAAAGGAATTGTCTGTTTCGATAACAGAAAAATCTGGAGTCCCGCTGTATATCAGACCTTTTGTGATCAGTGATTGAGTTGCTGATGTAGCTTACAAGTTAGAACTTCTAGAAGAATTGAATAGCATTCATAGTACCTTTCATGTGTCCAACTTGAGAAAATGTTTATTCGAATTTTTCTTTGTATTTCATATCATATTTTTACAGTATTATATATTATGGATTTCTCACATTTCATGACATAACACTCAAATATAGACATGTAACGAACTTTTTAGATCATTAATTTGTATAAAACAAATATGAATTTTAGAAAAATTTCACACGGATTGATGATTTTGAATAATATTTACACTTAATATAAATAAACTAAAGTTTGTCAATCGTAATTATTTAATTAAAAATTAGATTTTTTATTAAAATTATCAGTCAAGGTTTTATTATTTATAAAACACAGAATATATAAATTTAATCTTTATGTAATTTGTTGTAATAATCGGGTTCAAGTTTTGATTTAAGATTTTCTTTAACATATATATATATATATGTGTGTGTGTGTGTGTGTGTGTGTGTTATGATTATGTGAAGATTTTGAGATGTGAATATTGGGAAAAAAAAATTAAAAAAAGGGGGGGAGGTCGGCTGATTGTGCCGCCCACCATTTTTCCCCTTGTGCTATATATAGAAAGTTTGAGATAGATGAAGAGTTTTTACACACTCTATATTTGGAAAGTTTTCTTGGTGAATCATACAGATTGGCAGAAAAAGAAGAAGAGAATTCAAAGCTTGGACATTTGATTTCTAAGGTGAGTGTATATTGCTTTAAAGTATTGGTTATTACATCTTTTACTGTTAGAATCTGCTATTTATGAACTGTTTTTCATAAATATTTAGTTAAGTGTTAAACCGGACAAAGAGTGTCCGGAGTCCTCCTTAAACCGGTCAAGAGGTGACCGGATCTCATCTAAATCGGTCAAAGGTTGGGCGATGTATTGACTGGATTGTTTTAAATCGGTCAAAGGTTGGGAGATGTATTGTCCAGATTGCTTTAAATCGGTTAAGTTGTGAGCGGGCTATTTTCCGGACTTGTTATCCGGACAAAGATATTAACTTAATTCTAAGTGTTAACCGGACAAAGCTTATACGAGGTGTTGTCCGGATTGTTGACCGGAGATGATGGTTACTCTTGATAATCTAAGTGTTTGTCCGAATTACATATCCGGACAAAGTTGACCGGACTTCAAATCCGGTTAATGTGTTGAAATATTTTTGACATGCAATGGTGGTGTAACTGCGAGAGAGATGTAATGGTGGTGTAACCGCGAGAGAGAGATGTAATGACGGTGTAACCGCGAGAGAGAGATGTAATGGTGGTGTAACCGCGAGAGAGAGATGTAATGACGGTGTAACCGCGAGAGAGAGATGTAATGGCGGTGTAACCGCGAGAGAGATGTAATGGCGGTGTAACCGCGAGAGCGATGTAATGGCGGTGTAACCGCGAGAGAGAGAGATGTAATGGCGGTGTAACCGCGAGAGGGATGTAATGGCGGTGTAACCGCGAGAGGGATGTAATGGCGGTGTAACCGCGAAAGACATAAATAAGTTTATGTGTCAGAACAGGTTTGATTCTGAACTGAATGTTTGGAAAGTATGTTGTTTGTTTGRGATTTATACACTCACTAGACCTTTTTGGTCTAACGCTCAGTTGTTGGACTAACCTGTTTTGCAGGTCATCATACCTCGCAAAATAAAGGCAAGAGAAAAGTTTAGAATGAATGACGTTTAGTTATTCAAAATGTATTTTAAGAAAGTTTTTGTTAATCTGTATTTTGTAAACGATGTTACATTTTGTGTTGTGAGTATGATGATGTGGATTATCTGTACATAGAATATGTGGGTTGTTACATTTGTTGTATTTGATTTTTTGAGGGATTACATCGATATAATAATAACAACAATATGAAAATAATAAAAAATAATTAGAATAATTAAATAACATATAGTATATAAAACTAATTAATATCAAGTAATAAAAGTAATTAATAAAATTAAGACTAATTATGATTAATAATAAAATACTTGGTATTAATAAGACAAATTAATAATTAAAATACTAAATTATTTGATATTAGACCCTTTACTCTTATTTGTAAAAGCTAGCATAGCAATTAGTTTCCTTTAGTTTCTTTCGACGATTCTGAATATTATAACAACAATCGGAGACCCGAAGAACAATATTTAAAAGCATGAAAAACCCGAAGAATAACTAACAAACAACGAAGGTCATGTAAGATGATCTTGAAGTCTTAAAAACACAAATTTAAAGTTTCACATAAAAATCCCTTAAAAATATCTTGTTTTGTTTATTGTAATTTTTTTTTTATTAACCTGGATATTCAACATGATATACGAGCTAACTAATTCCAGAACGACCACTTGTTTTGTGGGTAGTCCGGAGTCACCGTATTTGAACCTCTGTGACCATAAGAGGATTTTTATTTCTCCTTGAATTTTAACCTGAGACCTCCAGACACTTTGACCATTGAAGTCCAAACTCAACTCAATCAGACACCACCTTTGTTTCATATTGCCACTAATGTGTAACAATATAGTGTTGTACATGTTTCATAATATGAAACGACATATAAGTTAAATCATTTGTAAATTGTCATATATAAATTACAAGGATTAGAAAAATATAAGGATATTTGTGCCCAATTAAGACAAAATATTCGTGTTTGAAATAGTTTTTTTAATTTATTTCTTTTTTTTCCTATTTAAAAAATTGTTTATTTTAGTTTAAAGA